CAGCAGCAGCAGCAGCAATGGCCAGCTGGAGCAACAGGTTTCGCGTACAACCAGAGAGCTTCTACGAACAACAGCAACATGAACACCCCCACCGCCATCAAATCGCCCCCACCTTATCCGCAAGGCAGTAACTTGTACAGTCCTGGTAACCAACAGCAGCAGCAGAATTACCCCGTAGTTCAGAGGAACAACTGCTTTCCGACCACTGCGTCTGCAGCACCGATCTCATCGAACAGTGCCAACAAGTGCCAAAACAAAACCGCCACCGTCGCCGCCAGTAATGGCGACAATTCAGCGGTAACCTCGTACCAACAACAACAGCAGCAGCAGTCATTTTCGTACCCATCTTCGGTGCCTGCGAGCACTACTACCTCACAGCAACAGCAGCAGCAGCAAGTGAGCGAGCCCAGTCCGTGCAGTCCGGTCTCGCGCCCACTCTCCTCGGCCATGTCCTGTCGGTCGGCGTCTTCGCTGACAAACAACATGGTCATCAACGACATGAACTCCAGCATGAACTGCTTTTTCTCCGAGGAGAACCGGTACTTTGAAATCACCTCGCACTGTCCTGTTTAGCGGTGAAGTAGTAGACGCTGTGCAATACACTCACACACACATTGTGGCATATCTTTCCCCATCCTCCCATCTCTTCTCAAACAGTATTTATTTATTTATCTCGACCACGTTTATTTCTTCTGTATATTGCTGTACTTTTCATACTGTAAAAGTTGTTGATCAAGTGGTGTAAATAAAATTAATAAAAGTTAAATTTCATTTAGTAAAACNTATTTATTTATCTCGACCACGTTTATTTCTTCTGTATATTGCTGTATTTTTCATACTGTAAAAGTTGTTGATCAAGTGGTGTAAATAAAATTAATAAAAGTTAAATTTCATTTAGTAAAACGGTTGCTGATACTCTTTTACATTAGACATGAAATGTGACAAATGACGGCCGCAACAACTAACAACGTGCGCCTGAAACGCCCAACAGTGTCAGTTGTGCAGAACAATGAGAAGAAGGGAAAAAATGACAAATAGCACCTTGTCGACTACTTGAATGACGATGAGGTTGTTCGTCGAGTTTCCAGGCAGATGTGCTACTACTTTACCAGCAGCAGCACTGTCCTGAACCACTTCCGCTTCCGAGTTGGTCAGCTGCTGTGCCTCAATGTCGGTGCTGCTCACTAGCCAGTGCTGCACTGGCTCCAGCGCTCGCATGACAGGGGACGGCACTTCAAAGGAGGACTTGGCAAAGTTGAGAGCAAATGCTGACCAGAGCATCGTCAGTGCCACTACGACCTGCATCTGACCTAGGTAGATGACTGGTGGCGGTCCAAAACAGTGATTATTGAATGAATTACAGTTTTTTGAAGAAGTGTACTTACTAACTCGAGGAATGCCCAGACTGCCGAAGCCTAGCTTGTAGCCGAGGTAGAGAAGGACGAGGAGAAGGGTAACAAAACTAAGGCTGCTCAGGTGGAAGCGCAGCTCACAGCGAATGTCGAGAAAGAGCGACATCAGGTTGAGGAGGAGGGCGCAGAGGACTGGCAGGTAGACGGTGTACCGGTAGATGGTGGCCTTCCGCTCGATCGTCAGGTAGTAGATCACCTCGGGGTAGTGGGAACTCTCGTCGTAGATGTGCATCTTGTACTCGCAGCGGGAGTCCACCGGCGCCCACTCGGCGTTCTCCACAAAACTGTTCAGGTCGATGTGCTCCGCTAAAAGTAGGGGTATTGTTTAGTAAAAAAAGTTTCTAAAAGAATGAACAAATCTTACAAGCGTTGTGCAGCTCCAGCGAGTTGCCGTCATAGGTCCACGAGGCAAATCGGTAGAGGCAGGTCTGCCGGTCAAAGGGCCAGTTTGTCAGGTCAACATCGCAGATGGTCTTCATCGAGATGGCCGGCATCCAGAAGATCTCTCCGCTGTTCCAGAGAATCAAGTCAGAGTGCGTGGTAGAGCGAATGACGTTCTGTGCCTCCACTGAATTGATGATGGTAATATCGGGTCGAAACACTAATCGATGATGCTCAGGATCAATGTTGAGAATAAACAAAAAAATGNAGTCGGAGTGGGTGGTCGAGCGAATGACGTTCTGCGCCTCCACCGAGTTGATGATGGTAATGTCGGGTCGAAACACTAAGCGATGATGCTCAGGATCAATGTTGAGAATAAACGAAAAATGATGCAGTTTTCATACCTTCATCTATGCGAACTCGAATGTCGCTTAGGCCTCCGTATTTTTCAGAGTCCCACTTCAGGTTTTCGTCGCTCCAAGAAAGGCGAATCCAGCCTTCACTCTCCAGAACATTGGTCACCACATCCAACTGCTTAATGTAATTAATGTCCAGGTAAATGGACACATTAATCGGGTGTGAGTAGTTGAGAACTGGGCGAGCCATGATGTCGTAGCCGCGCGTCTGAAAGAGCTCCTTCCTCAGCGCCTTAACGTGATCTGAAGATGGGGTGAGATAGTATTTGAAATGACAGATGCAAATTAGCATGACCAACAAAACTTACTCTGGTTGTCCGAAGGACCTGCACATTGTGAAGGCTGCCAGTGGTGGGAGATGAGAGTGAGAATTAGAGCACCAGAAAAGTAAAGTGCTCTTTGGTTTGCCATGGATGCGATGGAAGCGATGATGATGCTGATACGATGGGACGACCAATGATGTACAGCACCAGCGACCAAGTGAGGGCATTTCTGGCGAGGAAGCAGTGTACTTGCTACGTGAAATTGCTTTTATTTAACCATCCACTACCACCACCACCCAAGTTGGCTGGTAGGGGCTTGCATTTATTTCATTAATCACCAAAGGTTGACAGGCGCTGCCTACAAGTTACCAGCTGCTCAGGCTCAAATATCGCAACAGGACACAAACGCAGTACAATAACCTTAGGACCGAACGATCTCTTTGGTTGAAAATATTTATTAAACTTTGAGAGTACTGAAAACTCGATGATACAGAGCGAGCGAGTGTGTGTGGTTCCGGTTTAGTAATAGTGCGAGGGAGGTAGAGGCGCAAGTTAATATCCAATGTCTACATTGTAGCCAGTTTGACCGTTAAATAGAAAGCAGTTGTTTTGAATAGGCTCTTCGGTGATTGAGTTGATCACATCCTGGGCCAGGAAGCCGCCGATGATGCTGCTGGTAAAGGAAAACTGACCGAAAACTTTGTCGTGCCAATCGTCGTGAGCAGTATAGTTTCCCAGGTTGTTTCCACTTGCTTTCAACTCTTCCAGAAGCTGACATTCCACAGCCTTCAAGTTGGAAAAAAGCTTCGATTGATTTTCTTCATCACTGACAAACTGCGGAAACTCGCCGTACAGTTCGTAGTACTTGTACAGGGTCAGAGGTACGAGGAATGTACGTTTCATTCTATCGAGACTTCTCTTGAAATCGCTTCCGTTTGATTCAAAGGACTTTTTTGAGAGCACATCCTTAAAAGGCACATACTCAGTANAAAGTTTCGCTTGATTTTCTTCATCACTGACAAACTGCGGAAACTCGCCGTAAAGTTCGTAGTACTTGTACAGGGTCAGAGGCACGAGGAATGTACGTTTCATTCTATCGAGACTTCGCTTGAAATCGCTTCCGTTTGATTCAAAGGACTTTTTTGAGAGCACATCCTTGAAAGGCACATACTCAGTGTCCTTATACTTTGTTCCCGCATCGCAAAACACAAATGAAAAGTAGCCCCAAGTGCAAGCTGAAAAGAAGGGAACTTCACAGCTTCGGCAAATTTGATTCAGCTTATCGATGGAGTCGGCATCGTGATTGACAAGGACAACAACGTTGAACTTTTTGATGAAAGTATGAGCATCTTCATTCTCATTGACAAGAATATCTCCAAGGCCAGTAGAGCGCACTTTAACCGTCACTCGCGGGTTCAGTTCCTGGACTCCTCTCTGAGAAGCCTCGGCTCGGTTTTGGCCAATTTGGTTATTGGTGAAGAGATTCGAGAGCATATCAAAGTGGGTGACCGGTTGATCGTCCACCAGGGTGATAGAGTTTATGCCAGAGAGGACCAGATTTTTCACCACTTCAGATGCCGGTCCGGCCAGGCCGATGACCAAAACATTGGCCGAACGAATCTTCTGCTGAGCCTGAATTCCCCACAGGCGAATCTGTCGGTCGTACACCTTTGCCTCCTCATCGGTGAAATTTGCTGTCATGGTGTCGGGCGATTGTTGGGTGGTGGACATGTTTGAAAATCGGCGCAAAGTCAAAATCCGCTTTGGCTTTTTCTGGTAGAAGAATCACAATGAAGCAATCCCCGCACTGTCAGGAAAAGTGGTTTCTCAAGTTTTCAGGGGAACTTTTCTCCAATCTGCCACCTGGTGACCTATCTTAAAACTGGAAAAAAAATCTCGACTGGAAATGTCAGCTGAGCTGGTGCAAAGCTTGTGAGCGTCTGTTTTTGTTCTGGTTCTGAAGATCTCAATCTGCAATTTGTCCATTCTCCATAGACCAGCTAGTCTGCTGTTTAGCGATACATCAAATCAAGCCTCTCCTCTTCAAGATCCACTTCAGTTTGCCGACCAGAACTCCTGAGTTCTACTTTTTAGTCCACTCTTGTACGGCTTTTGTACAGGCACTGACACTGAAGAGCTGGCGATAGAATAACACATCGTAGTGCGGCTGCGTTACTGCTCATCGGTAGGAGTATCATCGTCTGGTTGCGACTCACATTGCTTGATCCAGCACACACTCACAGCTACACACAGTGCTAGTGCCCCGTGTTCGCTTTTGGACCAGCCACTTCAGTCCTGATCACCGATAACAAAACCCAACAAAAAGATGGGATACCTTCTAGCATCGAGTCACTATGTGATTCAGAGCACCACCACGTTTATTATCGTGGTCATCATCCTGTACTACCTCCTCACTGGCAAGGGAAATCGGATTGGCGACNCTGATCACCGATAAAAAACCCAACAAAAAGATGGGATACCTTCTAGCATCAAGTCACTATGTGATTCAGAGCACCACCACGTTTATTATCGTGGTCATCATCCTGTACTACCTCCTTACTGGCAAGGGAAATCGGATTGGCGATGTACAGTGGCTCCTCGAGGGTAAGCGAAACATTGTGTTGATGTGTTTTTGTGGTTGACTTTGAGCACTCACTCTCATTTGTCCTTCATTGCAGGCATCAGCCCTTACATGTGGGCCTCTCTAGGCGTCGGCCTGGCCATCTCACTATCAGTCGTCGGAGCAGCTACCGGCATCTTCGCAACGGGTTCATCTATCGTCGGCGGTGGTGTGAAGGCGCCGAGGATCCGTACTAAGAACTTGGTGTCGATCATCTTCTGCGAGGCCGTCGCCATCTACGGCATCATCATCGCCATTGTGATGCTCAACAACATCAAACCGTACGATCCAGCGGTCATCAGCGAGGCAACAAAGGCGAAAAACTTTCTTGCTGGCTATGTCATGTTTGGCGCCGGCCTCACCGTCGGCCTTGGCAATCTCTTCTGCGGTCTCTCGGTCGGTGTCGTGGGCTCCGGTGCCGCTCTCGCTGATGCCGCCAATCCCACGCTGTTCGTGAAGATCCTGATTGTTGAAATTTTCGCGTCTGCCATCGGTCTCTTCGGTCTCATCGTTGCCGTCATTCTCAATGCTAAAGCTGAAATGGGCGAAAAATAAAGTAAGCAGTGTGTTCCAAGACCACTAGGAAAGTTACGGCAAAGCTGAGCACAACACTGTCAACTTTGCACCACTGCACACTCATTCCCACCCATCTTCCCATCTGACGCTGAAGTCACCTTCCTTCAATTACTTANCAACACTGTCAACTTTGCACCACTGCACACTCATTCCCACCCATCTTCCCATCTGACGCTGAAGTCACCTTCCTTCAATTACTTATTTGTTGTCATCTCCTATTCCAGAAAACTGTATAATAGTAATTATTTTTATTTCACGCTGTTATTTATTATTTTCAACCAACACCAACCAATGCTATCTGCTACATTTCTCTAATTTGTCTCTTTTCCTTTCCTGCAAGCATCATCTGAAGCACTAGTCTACTAAACACAATTGCCCACTGTGTGTCCGCTGTATTTGCCCAAATGTGAATGTGAATGATTGAGTCACACAATCTT